TGGTAGAAATACCCCATTTGTCCTTTTTTTTCTTTTTCTAAATGTTGGTTAATAACCTCAATAGCCTTTTCTTTATCGAGAACTAAAATGAGAAGAGGCTCAAAGGTTAACCCAACTAGAAATGTTCCCGCCAGAATTGGATGTTTCAGTTAATCCAGGAGAGAATATTGATTGAGAAAAGGAAGGGTTAAAAATAGAAGTGTTATTTTTACGAGAGACAGTGCGAGAATTAGAAGCAAGTTTAAATAATCAAACCAACTTAACCCCCGAAGAACAGCAACAGAGTGATTATTTAAGAAACTTACAGCAGAATACTTTACGGAATGCCGAGAATAATTATCGGTCCAGGTATGGTGCTTTAAATGAAGATGGCTCAGATAAAGGAAAAGGGATGGGCGGAGGAGTAATTTTTCTACTGGCGATTGGTGGCATAGCATTAGTGGGTGGAATTGCCTATTTCTTAACTAGAACCAACAAAAAAAGAAAGGTGATAAAATTAAGTTAGAATAATTGCAAGAGTAGAAAACCCAAAAAATATCCGGCTGGCATGCATGACAAGTTTTATCATTTAAACGACAAACTCCAACCTCCAAGTTTAACTGCGGAACCAGCAGTGAAATTTTCGTTGGCAAGAAAAAAATAATAAGAGAAAGTTACTAATAATTCTTTAATACTCGTTAAAAAAAAAGAATAATTTATTAATATGGGTTATTCACATCAGGAAATTGAAAAAAAATGACAGGAATATTGAGTTAAGAATCAGACTTTTTTTACCAATTTAGCAGACAAAAATAAGCCAAAAAAGTATATTTTAGCCATGTTCCCTTACCCTTCGGGAAGTGGCTTACATGTTGGTCATATCCGCAATTACACCATCGCCGATGCCTTAGCCCGTTTTTACCGCTTAAAAGGATATAATGTTCTAATGCCTATTGGTTGGGATGCTTTTGGTTTACCAGCCGAACAATATGCTATTCAAACTAATAATCACCCAGCCACTTTTACTCAAAAAAATATTGAAAACTTTAAACAACAATTATTGAGTATAGGATTTTCTTACGACTGGAGCAAAGAAATAAACACCAGCGACCCTAATTATTACCACTGAACTCAATGGATTTTTTGCCAAATATATTTACAAGGGTTAGCCGAATATAAAGAAATACCAGTTTATTGGTGTGAAAAATTAGGCACGGTTTTAGCGAATGAAGAAATAAAAAATGTAGAGAGCGAAAAGGTTTCTGAACGTGGCAATTATCCCGTAATAGAAAAAAAAATCCCCCAATGAGTTTTAAAAATTACCCAATATGCTCCTCAATTATTAAGCGGTTTAGAGAAGATAGACTGACCCAACAGCATTAAAAGTCTACAAAGACACTGAATTGGATTGAACCAAGGAACTTTTATTAACTTCCTAGTGCTAGACAAACATTTAGTTGTTACAGTTTTCACCAAAAGTCCGCAAACCCTTTATGGGGTAACTGCACTCGCTTTGTCAGTTAATCATCCTTTTGTTGACCAAATTACTTCTTTTGATAGGAAATCCAAAGTAAAGGAGTTTTGCACTGCTTGAAAGGATAAAGAAAGCAAAGAAATATGCGGAGAATTTACCGGAAGTTATTGTCAACATCCTCTAACTAATGAAAAATTACCAATTTGGGTAACTAACTTTGTGGTTGATGAATATGGAACCGGAGCAGTAATGATTAATGCTTTTGCTCTTGAAATATTTTCTTATCAAGAAATTCCGAAACTAGCCAGTGAAAAAGAATTAAAACAAAACAGACAAATTGATTACGATTTTGCCTCAAAGTATAACTTACCAATAAAAAAAATCTTTCAAATAAATAATCAGGAACAAAAGCCAACCGGTTATTTCATTAATTCACCTCTAATTAATAATTTAGATGATAAAGAAAAGGCTATTGAGGTTATTAACCAACATTTAGAAAAAGAAAAAAAAGGACAAATGGGGTATTTCTACCA